GAAGAATTTCTACGAGATCGACAAAAAAATCGTTGTACTCAGAAAATGAAGCTCTATCAGATGATGCATAAAAATCTGTATATTTTTCGAAGTAAGAAAAAACTAAATTAACGGAAACTCTTCCTATTGGTTGCATGATGAGACAGAGTTTTAATGATCTGTTACTAGTGGCTCTACATAAGGCTTGTGACAATAGGGTTCTAGATGAGGTAAGTTGAACAATAATAGAGCATTCATCAGCACGTTTCTGATTCAACTCATGAATGTACTTTGACAAGAAGCAGTTACCTAACGGCTGTGAGAAGCATCATCGATATCATAATTCTGTCAGGCAAACCAGCTCCTATCGTTTCGCAAGGACTATTACACTTGCCTCGCACCCATCATGTTAGAAAGACATTGGTGTAATAAATACCGTAGCAATATTTTTGCATTGCATGGAGGCAATATTGCGATATTTTTCCAGATTATCTAAAATAAACTTTGCAGTGGCTTTGAATTTCTTAATTAATTCCTTATTCACGGCTGATGATTGGCCTTCACCTTTTTTGCTACACGAAAACGTGTCATATAAAGGTTGAATCTCTTCACAAGGGGCACGCAATAACCTTTAACTGCAACGCAGGCAACGGCTGTAATTAAATTAATTCCATTAACTACTGCTTTCATTACATTAATTACACAATATAGAACATTAACTACTTTTTAACTCCATTAATTACAGTTGAAATTTCGTAATTAAAGTACATTAATTACATTTTCAATACTTTTAATTACATTAATTACGGATAGATAATTTTAATTATCGTCAAAACTACTTCAAAACGCATTAATTACATTTTAACTTCACCGGTTCTTTGTATTGCGTGCCCCTCGTCTCTTCATTCGTTTTGAAGATATGTTCTAATTTTGATAACATTTGGAATTCTGTGAAGAAGTGTTTCTGATCTTCAGAATAATTCTGAATAAACCTTTCAATTTTTCAAGACATCAACATCCAGAGAACTGTAGTGAAATCATATTTAAAATCCATGAATATCAACTAAGTTCTATTAAACTTATACGAAGGTTCCTGTACTTTTACAAAGTATCGTTTTAATCAATTCCATGAGCTCAAATAAAGCTCCCCGAACTTCTTCCCAATCCATTTAACTTATCCCTGCCTCTATGAAGTTCCCTAAATTTGTGGCAAGTTATGCGAATTGCTTGAAAGTTGCGCCCACCTCTACGATTTTTTTTTATAGCTTACTCAAACTACTACTAAATTGATATCAAGATTGCTGAATTTGTAAATATTTCCTAATAACGAGTTTATTATCCCGGTTGGAACCGTTTGAACCTCAGCATTTTCATTGATCCATTCGAAATTGCACCACTAAATCACATGAACGTTACGTGACCAATGAAATCTATGTAAAACAGCAAAAAAGGTTATCTTCCATTTAATTCCACTTAATTAATTTTGGTATCCATGACAGATACGTATTTCGACTACAATGTGCAGTCTTCATCAGTGTCATTCCCACTAAAGAACTTATCAAAATCTAACCCCCCTTAAGTACTCATCCCCTAGGTAAAAAAGTCAAGATCATAGGTATAAAAATGAAACTACAATGTGTTGAATCGGAACCTACCTAACTAATAAAACCAAAGATTTAAGTAAGCTAAAGGAGAAAAATCTATACAACTCTCTAATAAGGAAAATCCCCAAAGGCTTGGTAGCCATCATAATGAAGTAATGAAATTGGGTTGTTAGCGGAATGCTAAATAAAACAGCAAAAAAGGTTATCTTCCATTTAATTCCACTTAATTAATTTTGGTATCCATGACAGATACGTATTTCGACTACAATGTGCAGTCTTCATCAGTGTCATTCCCACTAAAGAACTTATCAAAATCTAACCCCCTTAAGTACTCATCCCCATGTAGTTTCATTTTTAACCTATGATCTTGCCTTTTTTACCTAGGGGATGAGTACTTAAGGGGGTTAGATTTTGATAAGTTCTTTAGTGGGAATGACACTGATGAAGACTGCACATTGTAGTCGAAATACGTATCTGTCATGGATACCAAAATTAATTAAGTGGAATTAAATGGAAGATAACCTTTTTTGCTGTTTTATTTAGCATTCCGCTAACAACCCAATTTCATTACTTCATTATGATGGCTACCAAGCCTTTGGGGATTTTCCTTATTAGAGAGTTGTATAGATTTTTCTCCTTTAGCTTACTTAAATCTTTGGTTTTTATTAGTTAGGTAGGTTCCGATTCAACACATTGTAGTTTCATTTTTATACCTATGATCTTGACTTTTTTACCTAGGGGATGAGTACTTAAGGGGGTTAGATTTTGATAAGTTCTTTAGTGGGAATGACACTGATGAAGACTGCACATTGTAGTCGAAATACGTATCTGTCATGGATACCAAAATTAATTAAGTGGAATTAAATGGAAGATAACCTTTTTTGCTGTTTTATTTAGCATTCCGCTAACAACCCAATTTCATTACTTCATTATGATGGCTACCAAGCCTTTGGGGATTTTCCTTATTAGAGAGTTGTATAGATTTTTCTCCTTTAGCTTACTTAAATCTTTGGTTTTTATTAGTTAGGTAGGTTCCGATTCAACACATTGTAGTTTCATTTTTATACCTATGATCTTGACTTTTTTACCTAGGGGATGAGTACTTAAGGGGGTTAGATTTTGATAAGTTCTTTAGTGGGAATGACACTGATGAAGACTGCACATTGTAGTCGAAATACGTATCTGTCATGGATACCAAAATTAATTAAGTGGAATTAAATGGAAGATAACCTTTTTTGCTGTTTTATTTAGCATTCCGCTAACAACCCAATTTCATTACTTCATTATGATGGCTACCAAGCCTTTGGGGATTTTCCTTATTAGAGAGTTGTATAGATTTTTCTCCTTTAGCTTACTTAAATCTTTGGTTTTTATTAGTTAGGTAGGTTCCGATTCAACACATTGTAGTTTCATTTTTATACCTATGATCTTGACTTTTTTACCTAGGGGATGAGTACTTAAGGGGGTTAGATTTTGATAAGTTCTTTAGTGGGAATGACACTGATGAAGACTGCACATTGTAGTCGAAATACGTATCTGTCATGGATACCAAAATTAATTAAGTGGAATTAAATGGAAGATAACCTTTTTTGCTGTTTTATTTAGCATTCCGCTAACAACCCAATTTCATTACTTCATTATGATGGCTACCAAGCCTTTGGGGATTTTCCTTATTAGAGAGTTGTATAGATTTTTCTCCTTTAGCTTACTTAAATCTTTGGTTTTTATTAGTTAGGTAGGTTCCGATTCAACACATTGTAGTTTCATTTTTATACCTATGATCTTGACTTTTTTACCTAGGGGATGAGTACTTAAGGGGGTTAGATTTTGATAAGTTCTTTAGTGGGAATGACACTGATGAAGACTGCACATTGTAGTCGAAATACGTATCTGTCATGGATACCAAAATTAATTAAGTGGAATTAAATGGAAGATAACCTTTTTTGCTGTTTTATTTAGCATTCCGCTAACAACCCAATTTCATTACTTCATGAAATCTATGTGATTTCTCATATAGAATTTCTTATGCTATGTGATATTCAGATAAAAATCATTATTTGATTATTGGAAAAATATTATGTGCGTTCCTAATAGAAACTCAATGAAAACTTTTTTCAGTGTATGAATCAAGGCGGCTTGCCCTGGTGGTGAGTGCTAGCAGAAGCTAGAAGCAGTACAAAGCACTTTATTTAACAAAGCTAATCACTCATATTCTCGTTTTTGCTCGAACCGTTTTTCCATACAAAAAAAAATGTTTTGTATGGAAAATACGGTTCGATCGAAAACAAGAATAATATTAAAGCATATTACACAGCAAAAAAATGTAATATCGATCAATGTAATTCAAGCTGATGTATGAAATAATGATGTAATAGCAAAAAGCAGATACAATATTACATCAATGGATGTAATTTTGTTCGCAAAATCGATGTACATCGTACAACGTTATATTACACAACCGATGGATTGATCTCCCGCATAAACGCGAACCATAAATTGACCTTACCTAAAATGGTTAAAAATTGTTTATAATCCCTGCTAAACTTTAACTGAAATGGTTATGGAACTTTACATGAACGTTTAATGATAAAGTTTCAACCTTATGTATTATGGTTTTTTGGAACTGGACCTTACAAATAATGGGTTGTTAAGAACCATTACCATTCCAAATTCTTGTTTTCTCCATACATTTTCAGAAAGAGAACTATATAAGAACGTTTTTACTTATGATTTGAGAACATTAATGGTAATAGTTATGGTAGTCAGTAAGGTCCATTAATGGTTTTGTATTATCGCTCAACTTTACGTGGAATATATCGTGAATTGGTAATCAGTAAATTACAGGCAACCAATTCGCGATATATTCCACATAAAGTTGATCGATGTTACAAAACCATTCGTGGACCTTACTGACTACCATAACCATTACCATTAAAGTTCTCAAACCATAAGTTAAAAGGTTCTAATATAGTTCTCTTTCCGAAAATGTATGGAGAAAACAAGAATTTGGAACGGTAATGGTTCTTAACAACCCTTTATTTGTAAGGTCCAGTTCCAAAAAACCATAATACATAAGGTTGAAACTTTATCATTAAACGTTCATGTAAAGTTCCATAACCATTTCAGTTAAAGTTTAGCAGGGATTATAAACAATTTTTAACCATTTTAGGTAAGGTCAATTTATGGTTCGCGTTTATGCGGGCTGGTTGCAGCAGTTTGGATGTAATATTCAACAACTTTTTTCTGTGTATGCTTGATTACCACCACTGTTGGGATCCCCCCGGAGCACCTCTTTCAAGCCCCAAGATCAGTACAAAAGCTAGGAATAATGGTATGTTCGTTTTATTCATCGCCCCAGCCCTGCAGCAGGAATTGTCAAAGTCACGCGCTGATGGGTGGTGGAGTGCAGAAAAACAACGAAACAAAGTGTAAAAGAAGAAGCACCGTGTGTTACGCGAGTGAGAGTTGGTTGGTTATAGTTCGGTTGTGAAGGAAAGCAGGAAAAATCCTTCGCTTTTTGGCCCTCCCCATCGGCACCACACAGGGAACTCCGGAAAGACGATGGAGATCAGCAAAACAACAATCGGAATTGCGGCCGGAGTTGCCGGGACGTTGTTCCTTGGTTACTGCATTTACTTCGATCACAAGCGCCGCAAAGATCCGGACTTCAAGAAGAAGCTGCGGGAGAGTGAGTATAGCAGAAGAACGATCGCGTGTGTGTGCGATAGAGATGGTAAACGGAGGAAAATGTCGCTTTCTAATGTGGAAATTTCTGTTTTTCATGGTTATCCTTCATTCCGGATGGTGTACAACATGGTTCCGTACGGTTATCGACGACAGGGAGGAAAGCAAAAAAGTCTGCTTCCTCGGCTGGAGGGCCAAGGACAACCATGCCCAACATGGCAGACCACGAAGAAGTGCAAAGGTGAGGAGGATTTTGTTCTATGTCGCTTACATGGTGTAGTTAGATCACAGGCTCGGGGGGGCTCCTATCGATTTTCCATTTGCCGCACACTTCTTGCATATACTTTCTTATAAGGTTGTGATGTTTTGGAGGTTTATGTAATCGTGCATTGCAAAAAAAAAAATGCTTGCTGGAAGTAATGAGATGTTAGAATGAAGTGAATCAGTCTCGTAGCCTTCCATGTTTTTTGTTTGTTTATTACGGGGTAGTATTTTCGATAAGCGATTGAAGACATTCTTAGCAAAAATGATGAAACTTGCTTGCTAATACAATATTTTGTGCTTCAGATTTTTCCTGCAGGAAATTCAGATGGGTGAAGCTCTCATCTCTTCCGGTGACATCGAGAACGGCGTCGAGCATCTGGCCAACGCAGTGATCGTTTGCGGCCAACCAGCACAACTTCTACAAGTCCTCCAGCAGACCTTGCCAGCCCAAGTGTTCACATTACTGATCAATCGTATGCGACAGTATGGTGGCCAGAGCGGAGGCGAAAGTGAACGGGCCAAACTGCAGGACCTGAACGACGATCTGGAATAGTTTGGATGTTTGAGTATATTGTAGCAGACGGAGACTGGAGTACCAAAAACAAACAGAAAATCGTAGAGTGTCCGCGGTTAATCGCACACGCAGTTTGATGTAACGAATTACACTATTGTAGAGAAAAGAGAGAACTTCAAGCAACCCTAAGAAGTAGAAGTGCATTAGTATAAAACAAAAACCTATCCATCATGTTATGAAGAGCTTTTTTGGAGGAAACATGCGTTAAATTGGTTGTCGTTCGAATTGATGTTCAGTTTTTCTCCAGCATATTCAAGTTTTCTGGCTCGAAAACCGCCACAAAACAAATTCGGTGTTTCATGTTAGACTATCGAAAACGCTCCGATTCTGGGCTTTGAGTTCGTGCATTTGATTTTAACATCCAACTGCCCTCTTCACCTACGTCGTGTTGATTTCGGATTTGCGGCTGCAAATACCGGTAAATTGATAGCTAGTTAAACGTGAACACACACACTGAGCAAAACTAACGGACATTGATGTTGAATCGCATGTATTTTCTCACACTTTCGAAGTTCAAATCAAACAAGCATTACAATAAGCAGTTAATATTCGCCGTGTCGTACCGAGAAATTCGAAGAACTTACTGTTAAATTTGATTGAAAACTTAAGATGGTGAATAAAAAGCTTTTAAGTAAATGGCGTGGTAACCAATTTCATGTGAAAATACCTTTTCTGAACAGATATCCTGTACACACTAAATTTCTTAAATATTTTTCGATGTATGAAAAATGACTCTTTTCTAATTGCTTTCAGCTAACCATGCATTAAGCCGTCTAATGTCCTCTTAAAATGCTACAGCTGAATAACATCGCGCGGGTTCTACTGATGTATTTGATATTTTCATGATCTGGCGATGTAAAATAATTAAATTTAAAGAACAAACAGAAAAAATAATAATAAGGGAACAATGTGTAGATATTTCGGTAAAACCTTTACCGAACGCTATTGTAAACTTTACCAATTGTTCAGTAAAATTTACAGTCCAGACCAGTAAATGTTGACAGCTCAAAAGCTAACGAATTGTAAATTTAAAATAAATTATCGAAACAATTATTCGGTAGAAAATTACTCTAAAATAAATCCAGGAAGTTAAGGATATATGCAAACAATTTTGTCATGAACACCAATGTTGTTGTTTTCGTTCAAACGGTATTTTCCATAAAAAGGTCTTTGGAAAATACGGTTCGAATGAAAGCAAGAATATAGGTGAAAATCAGCATACAATTCTGCATATGACTTAAGAATTAAGTACCACTTCGTCATACTCGCTTAAAATTGGCTATTTCATAGACAGATGTAAATGTTTTACACTAAAACGCTTAACTCTTAAGAAGTGGACGAGGAGAGATTAGTTATTGAAGCGTTTGTCATTGTTTTTCACTTTCCAGCTGTCCTGCGCTTGTACACTAGGTGCACGCGCAAAAAACACACTATTGAAATATGACTTTTATCAACAATTTTCTTGAATATTTTTAAAATGTTTATACATCACTAGAAAGAGAAAAAGTTGACCTTGAAACACAATTTAAACCAGAATGAACTGGCAATGAATTTTTTTATTCGCTTGCAAACATACCGTCCATTTTTCGGTGATTTGACGCGACTGTTCTTGGGATAACGAATATGACAAAAATGGGTTCCAGACGACGTTGGAATTTTTTTTCCAAATACAAATTATTGTAAACAGCATGTCGCAACAGCTTCACGGCAGATGACTAACTTAGAGAGAGCCTCACTTCTACTCAGACAAAAATAAATAGTTTAAAATTAGTTCTAAAACGCAACAGGTTACCCAGTACGTTTTTAAAATTTATAATTCTCCCTGAATTAATCTCATCGGCCGTGCGTTGTGTGAAAATTGCTTATTTGCATATGCGTAGGCGTTGGGTTAATGCGAATTCGCTTAACCGTCTTCCTCCTAAATGTATGCTACAATTAATTCGAGCAACATAAAATTTCGAGATTTTTTGAAAAGGTAAAAATTCACCAAATGGAACACAGACTAAGGCCTTTCGCAATGCTGTTGTATTTTATAAGGACTGTTTCAATTTGAAACTAGAACAGAAACGCACCTCTCGCAATGCTGGGTTGCAGTTTCATTTTTCGAGCACTATTTTGCACCAGATTTGCAACTGCTCGACTATTCTGTTTTAATTCTGAGCGAGTTTGAAACACGAATGGCACTCTGTTTTAAATTTCTTTGGATGTGTTAGAGATGTTTCGAAGAGGTTCACAAACAAAAAACGGAGAACTTCATAGAGAACAGTAAAGTTTATGGAACTTGATGATGACAAACATCTTTTAGAACTGTGCGTTGAGCTGATCGTGTTGCAGTTTTATTTTTGACAGTTTCAAATTATAGAATTGACGAGTAGTTTAAAACAATTTTGAAACTCAGCATTGCGAACGGCCTAAGGCTGTGTTGACAGACTCAAGTTGACAAATGAACAAAATCGACATAAATCCGCAATCTATCTATTTTGCTGGATCTCAGTTAAAAAATTTGCCGAGATTCAGTTAACGAACGGGAATTTTGCCGAGGTCTCGGCTAACAAACGTAAATTTTGCTGAGATTTCAGTAAAAATAAATGCCGAGCCTGCTCGGTGGTGCCAATCTCGGCAAAAAATCTAAGTGCAGCAGCTTTGGCGTGACTTTCTACCAGCGATTTCACAAAACTGGACCAACTAATTTCTATTTTTTTATGAAACGCACAAATGTTGGCTACTGTTCACGTGGTTCTAGAAGGAAAAATCTCAAAATAATGTTTTATTTTAAAGTTCGAGTGGTAGAAAATGTCATTTCAACTGCTCGAATGAAGTGATTAATACAGAATCTCATTTTTGAGTAGCTTAAGTTTTGGCCGATATGAGTACATCGTACTCAAATTTGGGTAGTTTTGAAATAGCGTGTTCATTCTATTCAGTGAAAAGTTGTGTCAACCTTGCTATCGATAGGTTGCTTGTCTGTTCGCGTGTTTACTTTTATTATGATTTTGTCGATTGTTTTCCGGTTTGATTAACTTCATTTTCGGTCGTGAAGTTCAAAGTTTGCTGCCGATAGTGGTAATTAAAAAAACGCCTTAAAAGTGAGGGTCCAGTGCGTAAAAATTAAAATCAAAAATATTGTTCCGAAATTTCTTCCGTATCTCCGTTGCCTTCGGTCACAACCAACAGAGAGAGGTGAAGCAGATCGTGAAATACACAGAAATTCAAAACAACCCAAAATTAAGTTCTTTTCACTCATCTCCCATGTTCCGTACGATAAGCCAAATTTGGGTAAACCGGCTCAAAGTAGTTTGCATTTAAGCACGGCAAAAAAAATTACCCATCGCTAAGTTATTTTCAATTTTTTCTACCCAAAATTAAGTTCAATTAACTCAAATTTGGGTATATCGCATATTACTCAATTTTGGCTTCTTGTACGGAACTAGACGGTTGAGTCGAATCTTTCGTTCTATTTTTGACAACAATAGCGAGAGGAAATGAAACGGACAGAGGTCAAATAACTCAAATTTGAGTTTAAAAAACCCAAGCGGTGGGTAGTTTTGTTTTTCTGTGTATGGTTGATTAGTAATCCAAAATTCAACGTAAACGCAATTAGTGACGTCACTAAATGCATGTATCGTACAGGGGTTTTACTCACACAACTTAACCGACTGCTTCACCTCGGTAATTCACTCATTGCATTTTTTTTTGCCATTTAAATGATCTTTATTTCTTGTGATTGTGTGGTTTACATGTATGAATTTTTTAAGTGACACAGATGCGTCTTTTCAACTTTAGTACACTGAAGTCTTTTTTTACACGGTTTTTTTTTACGCGGTTTTTTTTTACACGGTTTTTTTTACGACGATTTTCGAAATAACGCGGTTTTTTTTTACGCGGTTTTTTGAAATAACGCGGTTTTTTTTTACACGGTTTTTTGAAATAACGCGGTTAAAGAGCCAAAACATTCTAAGTGTTTTCTGAGGAATGGACTTAGCCAAAAAAAAACAAACTTGGAAGTGTACTTCGAGGGGATTCACCGGACAACATGAGTACATACATATTTTCGGAACGGGAACGACGTGTAGAGGCCGGAAATCGATGATTCATGCCATTTTGGAATCCAAGATGGCGGCTTCCGGTTTTGTGAAAAACTGTCAAATAGCCAACAATATGGATATTTTTGGAACGGGAACGACGCGTAGAGGCCGGAAATCGATGATTCATGCCATTTTGGAATCCAAGATGGCGGCTTCCGGTTTTGTGAAAAACTGTCAAATAGCCAACAATAAGGATATTTTTGGAACGGGAACGACGCGTAGAGGCCGGAAATCGATGATTCATGCCATTTTGGAATCCAAGATGGCGGCTTCCGGTTTTGTGAAAAACTGTCAAATAGCCAACAATATGGATATTTTCGGAACGGGAACGACGCGTAGAGGCCGGAAATCGATGATTCATGCCATTTTGGAATCCAAGATGGCGGCTTCCGGTTTTGTGAAAAACTGTCAAATAGCCAACAATATGGATATTTTTGGAACGGGAACGACGCGTAGAGGCCGGAAATCGATGATTCATGCCATTTTGGAATCCAAGATGGCGGCTTCCGGTTTTGTGAAAATCTGTCAAATAGCCAACAATAAGGATATTTTTGGAACGGGAACGACGCGTAGAGGCCGGAAATCGATGATTCATGCCATTTTGGAATCCAAGATGGCGGCTTCCGGTTTTGTGAAAAACTGTCAAATAGCCAACAATAAGGATATTTTTGGAACGGGAACGACGCGTAGAGGCCGGAAATCGATGATTCATGCCATTTTGGAATCCAAGATGGCGGCTTCCGGTTTTGTGAAAAACTGTCAAATAGCCAACAATATGGATATTTTCGGAACGGGAACGACGCATAGAGGCCGGAAATCGATGATTCATGCCATTTTGGAATTCAAGATGGTGGCTTCCGGTTTTGTGAAAAACTGTCAAATAGCCAACAATATGGATATTTTTGGAACGGGAACGACGCGTAGAGGCCGGAAATCGATGATTCATGCCATTTTGGAATCCAAGATGGCGGCTTCCGGTTTTGTGAAAAACTGTCAAATAGCCAACAATATGGATATTTTCGGAACGGGAACGACGCGTAGAGGCCGGAAATCGATGATTCATGCCATTTTGGAATTCAAGATGGTGGCTTCCGGTTTTGTGAAAAACTGTCAAATAGCCAACAAAATGGATATTTTCGGAACC